CGGGTGGCAGGTCCCAGATGGAGGCGATCCTCGGATGGCAGCGGCTGCTCTCGAAGCGGGGCGAGTGGCTCCTCCCTCGGGCCGGCTCCTCCCTCGGGCAGCTTGCTGCCATGGTTGCTCTGCCGCTCCTTGCTCGGCTGCAACAGGCTGTGCCGGGGGCTGTGCCGCTCGGCTATGCCCCTTTTATCCATATAGGCACATTTAAAGCTTACATTCAGAACTTGTTCTTTCCATAGTAACATAACATTGTGGTTTGACATTTGTAATTCAAACTAACCACTAACACTAACATTGCAAAGATAATTTGATTAGCAAATTATTTATCTTTGCCTTTATTAACTATTTCAACATGACCTTGAACACTTCCAGGGATGCATCCACAACTTCTCTAGGCAACCTGTTCCAGTGCCTCACCACCCTCATGGTAAAGAATTTCTTCCTAATATCTAAAGCTTTAAAATAATTAACCCTTGTTCTATCACTACATACCCTTGTAAAATGAAGGGATCAGCTCTCTGATAAATTTGTGATGTCCTATAGGTCAAACTTTCCCTGAGTTATATCAGTGGATCTAGAGAAACTTGCAGTTTTATCAAAAAGCAGAGTTTAAAACTTATTTTTTAAAAAGTTTAATTTTAAATAAGTTAAGTTTAATTTTAAATTAATTTATTTAAAGCAACTTCTTTCCTTAAATAAAGGACTTTTCCTACATAAAGTATATTATTATTCTATATGCTAGGTAAAAAATTTCAGGCAAGGAAGGCAAGAGACCAGCATGGCTGAGTCGAGACCTGCTGGTAAAACTAAAGGGCAAGAAGGAAATACATGGGCAGTGGAAGCAAGGAGAGGTATCCAGGGAAGAGCATAGGGACACTGTCTGGTTGTGTAGGGATGGGCTCAAGAAGGCCAAGGTGCAGCTAGAACTGAACTTGGCAAGGGATACAAAGAAGATGTGTGGTCCAGTCAACACGCTGGAGGGAAGGGATACCATCCAAAGGGACCTGGACAGACTTGGGAGGTGGGAATGTGCAAACCCCATGAATTTCAACAAGGCCAAGTGCAAGGTCCTGCACATGGGTCAGGGTAGTCCTGTGTAAATGCAGACTGGGTAGAGAACAGATTGAGTGCAGGTCTGTGGAGAAGCACTTGAGGATGTTTGTAGACAAGGAGCTCAACGTCTCATCAATATGCACTTGCAGCCCAGAAAGCCAACTGTATCCTGGGCTGCATCAAAAGAAGTGTGGCCAGCAGGTCAAGGGAGGTGATTCTGCCCCCTACTCTACTTTTGTGAGACCACACCTGGAGTAGTGCATCCATCTCTGGGGCCCCTGGCACAAGAAAGACATAGACCTATTGGAACGCATCCAGACAAGGGTCACGAAGATGATCAGAGGGCTGGAGTACCTCTCCTATGAAGACAGGCTGAGACAGCTGGGGTTGTTCAACCTGGAGAAGACAAGGCCTTGGGGAGACCTTATAGCAGCCTTCCAATACCTAAAGGGGGTTTACAGGAAGGCTGGAGAGTGGCTTTTTGCAAGCAGTGATAGGAGAAGGAGGAATAGCTTTAAGCTGAAAGAGGGTAAGTTTAGATTAGATACTAGGAAGAAATTCTTTACCATGAGGGTGGTGAGGCATTAGAATAGGTTGCCCAGACAAGTTGTGGATGCCCCATCCCTGGAAATGGATGCGACTTTGAGCAACCTGGTCTAGTGTCCCTGCCTATGGCAGGGATGTTGAAACTAGATGATCTTTAAGGTCCTTTCCAACCCAAAGCATTTTATGATTCTATGAATAACAAAAAGAGCTTCTACAGGTATGTTAACCAGAAAAGGAAGGTCAAAGAAAGCGTACCCTCCTGATAAAAAAGGACAGAAAACTGGTAACAATGCACGAAGAAAAGGCAGAGGAACTCAACAACTTTTTTGCCTCAGTCTTCATTGGCAATCTCTCTTCCCACATCTCTTGAGTGGATGGACTGCAAGATGGGGACTGAGGGAGCAAAGTCCCTCCCACTGTAAGTGAAGATTCAGGTTTGTGACCACTTGAGGAACCTAAACACACATAAGTCTGTGGGACCTGATGAGATGCATCCCAGAGTCCTGAGGGAATTGGTTGATGTAGTTGCCAAGCCACTCTCCATGATAATTGAAAAGTCATGGCAGTCAGGTGAAGTCCCGGATGACTGGAAAAAGGGAAACATTGCACTCATTTTTAAAAAGGGTAGAAAGGAGGACCCTGGGAACGACCAACCTGTCAGCCTCACCTCTGTGAGGGAGACCACAACAAACTGTTGCTGTTGTCAAAGGGGGTTGCTGTGAAGGTTGTCATGACTTCTGTGAAAGGCTGTCAAGAATTGAGAAGCCTTGAGCCAGCTCCAGCTGGACATTTCTATACATTAATTATTCACAAGTTTTTGTCTGTAGCTTTTTCCATTGCAGCTGAAATAGGTTTTTGCTGGAAGCAATTTGTTGAGGTAGAGTTGACTCATAAAATCAGACAAAGCGATGACTGACTTGGTCTTGTGTTACCAATAACTATACTTCAGTGAAAGGTTGGAATAGATGGGATTCAGAGGTTAATTTCAGCTAACACTTCTGGTATAATATTCTACTGTCTGCAGTGGTGTTTCAGTGGGAGATGTGTGAGTACTTACAGATGTTTACATTTAAATGGATTAAATATGTGACCATTGGTTGTTCTATGGTGCCTAATGGTCTCAACAATGCATCAGTATCCCTGCTACACAGTCACACTATCTATGCTCTCATCTAACTGTGGTGTTTTACCATTGATAGACCTAACCTTTACTCTGAAGACACCCATGTAGTCAAACTCTGCATTTGGTAGGAACAGTAGTATTGTATGATAAGTCTGATTCTGGAAATAAACTGTAAATTCATGTTCCTAATTTTATAATGAGTAATTTCTGGTGAAATAAAGGGAAAATTCTCCAAATGGAAGTGTCCCAGTATCTTAGTGCAAAGAACCTTGAGATGATCTAGTCCAACCTCCCTGTTCAAGCAAGGTCAGCTAGAGCAGGTTGACCAGGAATAATAATAAGATATTTATAACAGTAAGAAATTAATTCTCCTAATATTTATCCTGTAGGCTTAAGTTGAATATTTATCATCCACCCCAAAATAAATTTAGTCCATTTGCTCCTCATTGTAAATGAGTGACAACTTTAACAAAAACAATCTTTAAACTCATAAATTCAAATTGTAATATTTTTCTTAAAAGTCCATTACTTTCTATTAGTATTTTATCAGTATTTAAGCTATAACATTTCATCTCTTTGCTTCTTTTGTTATGCCTCTGCTTTCTTTTAAACTTTATGATTCTATCAAACAAATTACAAAAAGCAAAAGGTTTTATTCCTGTGAGCCTTTCAATAGAAACAAGAGGCTATTAGTTTTTCATAATGATACATTTTAAATTCAGATTTACAGTGGTGGTTTTTGGGACAGTTTTTTAAAACTGCTGAGAGTTTAATATGTGTTTAACAAAATCCTGTCGACCTTCCTTATAACAACAGGGTGTCATAGTTCGTATTTTTAGCAAGGAATTTTTCTTTCCTTTCCCCCTGCCGTGTGTGTGTGTGTGCTCTGTATATTGCCCATTTAGTTGAACAAAGGAATCGACCCGAGCCCTAATGGTCGAGATTTGTTTCCTTGACAACGAAGGGGGGAAGTGGCTGGTGTGTGACTGGAAGGGGGTGGAGGCTGGGGGGGGAGGAGAGTCTCTCTCGCTGCCGGGGTGAGAGGCTGCGTGGGCTGCAGACACTGCCGGGTTCCTTTGTCTCTTTCCTGTCGGAGGGGATCTCTGGCTGCTGCTCTTGGCTCGGCTCTGGCTGGTTGCAAGCCCTGCTCACAACGGACCCTAATCAGCTGAAGTTTGTGAGTTTTCTTCCATTGGGAGAACTTTCTGTTTTATTGCTGTTGTTTTCCTTCCCCTTCTTCCCCCCCCCCCCCACCTGGCGGCAACCAAGGATCTCACAGAGCTGCCTGGTGACGGGCACTGGACATTACAAGTTCTACTCCTTCAGTGATCCAACAGCGCCACCTGGTGACTACAATAGGACACTACAAGTTTTTTTTTCACACCTTTAGTGACCCAACAGCGCCACCTGGTGAATGGTACAGGACATTACAAATTTTGCATCTCCAGTGACCCGATGGCGCCCCCTGCTGACTGTGGTTGGAACTGCACCAAAGGGTGCAAGAAATTGAACTATTTTCCTTTTGCCGGTTTATCGGTTTTGTTCTTGAAGGGGATTATTGGTGGGTATAGGAGTATTACTTAGTTATTTTACTTGGTTTTTTTCGTGTTCCTGTTGATACACACATACCTTTTAATAAAGGGCTGTTATTTTCCCTTTTCCATAATTTGTTTTCCTTCAATCGAAGCCTCTTAATTTTGGATTTATAATTGCTTGGAAAGAGAAGTTTGGGTCTTTTCCTCCTAATTCATCCTCAGCAAAAGACCCTTGTCTCATTTAAACTGGGACACAGGGAAAGGGGAAAAACCTGATAAACATTTTTATTTACTTCCTAAGGAGGACCTCAGTTTTGGAAAGACCATCCACCTGAAGGTAGCAATTACAGGGATGGAATGGAAGAGTTAAATCCTACAGGATTTATCATTGCTAAGATATCAGAAGAAGATACAGGTATGCTCTTGTTTTTAGAGCATGTTAGGTATTTTATTTTCTCAAACCTCAATAGTTAGAGATACCATTGTCCACAGTGTGAGTGTAGTTTGTGACAGTAAAATCCGAAACAAAACCACAGAAAACAAAACTAATAAAAAAAACCCTCTGTGAATTTAGGACATGTACTTCATTTTTTCCCCTCCTCTGACTTCCCTCAAGTTTTAACTATGGTATTGTTATTAGGTCTGTATATTACAAAGTTATAAAAGGAAAGGTCGTGATTGTGCTTTAACAATTAACCTAAGAGCTTATGTTTTATGCTAAACTTTGTTGACATTTCAGTTTTTCTCCTTTTTGAATGAAATTCTTGCACCATTGAAATCCGTGCAACTGATTGCAAAAAAATCAAAGATTTTACTTCTCTGCCTTAGTTTCTTCATCTATAAATTTGTCTATTTACTTTCACTCACTGCTCCAACATGGTGTAAAGTTTAATAAATTGCTTGAAGATTCTGTGGTGATACAAGATAACTAAACTATCAATTTCTACAGAATTGAATTTTTTAGGTGGTGAGTTTTTTTACCAGTCCCTATATTCCATTCTTATGCAGATCACTTTAAAATGTAAATTAATATAAGTGAAAATAAACTTATAGTAAAACTGTCTGAGTTTTCTTACAGAATGATACATACATTAGCAACAAAAGGAGGGTTAAGAAGAATCTCTATCCTTTATTGGATGAGGGCAGAAACATAGTGACAAAGGATGAGGAAAAGGATGAGGAAAAGGATGAGGTACTTAATGCCTTCTTTGCCTCAGTCTTTATTAACAACAGTTGTACACAGGGTACCCAGACTGCTGAGCTGGAAGACAGAGACAGGGAGCAGAATGAAGACCTCATAATCCAAGGGGAAAGGGTTAAAGACCTGCTATACCATTTAGACACACATAAATCTATGGGGTGAATAGGATCCACCCAAATGTACTGGTGGCAGGTTCTGCTTGACTAACTTGATCTCCTTCTATGACAGGGTGACCCAGTGGGGATGTTGTTCACCTGGACTTTAGCAAAACCTTTGAGACCATTTCCCGCAGCATTGTCCAGGAGAAACTGTCTGGACAGGTATATTTTCTGGGTAAAAATCTGGTTGGATAACCAGGCCCAAAGACTTGTAGTAAATAGTGATAAATCCAGTTGGTGGCCAGTCACTAGTGGAGGTCCCCAGGGCTCAGTACTGGGCACAGTTCTGTTTAATATCTTTATCAATGGTCTGGATGATGAGATTGGGTGCACCTTCAGTAAATTAGCAGAAAACACCAAGTTGGGCAGGAGTGTTGATCTACTTGAGGGTAGGAAAGGTCTACAGAGGGATCTGAACAGGTTGGATAGATGGGTCAAGGCCAATTTTATGAGGTTCAACAAGGCCAAGTGCCAGGTCTTGCACTTGGGTCATAACTCCATGCAATGCTATAGGCCTGGGGAAGCTGCCCAACAGAAAAGGATGTGGGGGTATTGGTTGACAGCCAGATGAATGTGAGTCAGCAGTGTGCCCAGGTGGGCAAGAAGGCCAATGGTGTCTTGGCTTGTATCAGAAATAGTGTGGCCAGCAGGACTAGGGAAGTGATCATCCCTTTGTACTGTGCACTCGTAAGGCTGCACCTTGAATACTGTGCTCAGTTTTGGGCCTCTCACTACAAGAAAAACATTGAGGTGCTGGAGCACATCCAAAGAAGAGTAACAAAGCTGATGAAGGATCTGGAACATAAGTCCTTTGAGGAGCAGCAGAGGGTAATGAGTTTTTTTAGTCTGGAGAATAGAAGGCTCAGTAAAGACCTTATTGCTCTCTACAAGTATTTGAAAGGAGGTGTCAGTCTCTTGTCCTATGTAACAATCAACAGAATATGAGGAAACAGCGTCAAGTTGAGCCAGGGGAGGTTCATGTTGGTTATTAGGAAAAAATTCTTCACTGAGTTATCAAGCATTGGAACAGGTTGCCCAGGGGAGTGTTAGTCACCATCCCTGGGGTATTTAAAAAATGTGCAGATGTGACACTTAAAGACATGCTTTAGTGGTGGACTTAGGTTAACAGTTGGACTTGATAATCTTTGAGGCCTTTTCCAATTTAAACAATTCTATGATTCTATGGTTCAGCAACATCAGAATCCACAAGATTCACTTAAATTTTGTTCTCTAGAAGCCTGTTTGGTGGTGAAACATGTTTTCAGGAGGCAGTTCCTAAAAAGAAACTTCCATAGGTAGCTAATCAGGCCTGCCTTAGAGTTTTCAAATAATAAAGAAGTAGAGTTAATTCCTGGTTCTAAACTCAATTTGTTCTGACTTTGTATTAACCGCATTGTCGTGGTTTTGCCCTGGCTCAATTTATTTTTACACTCCCCATACAATTACTATCAGTTGAGAGAAGGTTTATGCAGACAAAAAGAGACTGAATTGAAAAAAAAGTATGAGTATTTATTATTAACAAGCTAAAATTAAAGAATTATATCTACAACAATTCTACTTAAGTAAAAGGTATTATGTATTTACAGAAGATACTTCTCCCCCCACCTTCCTTTATATCAGTCCAAGGAGGAGAAGCAGTCCTTTTTCATTCTCGGAATTCCAGCTTTCTCTTTCTCTCCAGTAACTCTGCAGCACTCTCTTCGCAGTTGGAACTCCTTTATCTCTCTCTCATTCTGTGTTGGCCTCCAGGGCTGGGTCTACCCCCCCCCCCTCCTGGGCTAAAACCGAAGGCTGGGGGTTACCCAGGTCCTGAAGGGTCTCCTTCCATAGGTTTGCAAGGGGACACTTGCTTACTATGGATCTTCTTCCACAGGGTTACAGGGGATAATGGTTTAAGAGTTCACCCCTGTTTCCCTATGGAGGTCCCTCCCCATGGGAGAACAGTCCTTGATTGACTTCTCGGCATGGGTCTAGTCTGGATCCCTTACTCGGATCCCAATATCCCACCTGAGCCATCTTCTGCTCCAGCGTAGGCCCTCATCCCCCTCAGGGTCATAAATCTTCAACAGCAGCAGCATGGATTTCTCACTGAGATCCCAAGCTTATCCGAACCGTCTCGCTCCGGCATAAGCATCGTCCCCTTCAAGGGTCACAAAGTCTTCAACAGGACTCTGCCTTACCCGAGCCGCTTCTGCTCCAGCATAAGGCTTTCTCTGTTAAAGTCACAAATCTCTGATACATCTATAAGCTCCTCTGCGAGCCGCATGGGGGGTCTCCTCACCCCAACAAACTTTCACAGGTAGCAGGGATTTTATTTTTCAGTCTTTACCCTGCTGAAGGGAGGGAGAGTGAAAGGGAGAAAAAGCAGCTCTCCCCCCTTCGAACCTTTCTTCTCTCTCCTCTGGCTGCCAGCTTTGACCTTGAAAATCTTTTATCTCTTCGCTGGAATTTCTCTGCAGTGGTTTCTGTCCAAGCAGTTCGTTTTTTAAACCTTTTTTTTTTCTTCACTCTCTCAAAAGAGAGAAGGGAGGCTTCAGTACTACACCTGCCCCCCCCCGACCCAAGCCGGGGGAAGGAGGGGGCCTTGACCCTCCTCGGGCCCGCTACTCTTCTACATGGCTGCTGCTCTTAATTTTCACTGCGCAACCAACCTTCTCTTCCGTTTTCTTAAAGATGTAATTAGCAAAGGCGTCACTGAACTTTTTGATTGTTTTTTTTGTCCGGAAATCACTTGGACAAAACCATCCTCAGCTCCAGGGATGGACTGGTGGGCAAAACCACGACACGCATCATGTCAGATTAACAGTTCTTCAGAATTGTATCAAACCACACAGAATTTTACAGTGTCAGGAAACCCTTGCAAACAGAACTGTATGCTTCACTTATTTACATTTTCTCTATCATGTAAAATGCTTTGCAGGAGCAATTAACAAGGCTTAAGTAAAGGCTAACCCAATGACGTTAGAAACAACTTTACCATTTGTAAGATTTTATGTCATAAGCCTTTGATTTGGGCATATTCTCAGGTTATCAATGAGTAAATTCTAAATTTACCTGGAAATATTTTAACTTTGATCTCTTTCAAAAAAATAAGGTTTACTTGTATTTAAAGTTCAGGAAACTCATATAAAATAAATAAGGTTCTTAAACCTTGGTTATTATGTCTTGATGTACACTTATCTATGCCTTGAACCACATGCATTTCAGAACCCATGAATTTATTGGTTGATCATAACTGTGCATAGTCAGTATTTACAACAGAACCTGTTACAAGTATCAAGTCCATGACCTGTGTTCTAAAGAATCATGCTTGTGTCAATGAGTTTGCAAAAGGAAATTGCCTGCATATTTAATATACCTATGAACTGTAAAGGAATCAGTTAAATCTTACATTTTGGTAAGAAGATGTAAAATGTGAAATGGATCTGTTTATCAAATAAAATGGAATTGCATGGATTGATTTTAAAAAATAATAAAATGTTTCACAACTGTATACATTTATCTCTCTTTTTTTAATTCCAGAATCGAATGGAAGAAAGCAAAGCACTCTTTAGGACAATTATCACATATCCATGGTTCCAGAATTCTTCGGTTATTCTGTTCTTAAATAAAAAAGATCTCTTAGAGGAGAAAATTATGTACTCCCATTTAGTTGATTATTTCCCAGAATATGATGGTAAGTATATTGCCACCAGAGCTCATTTAAACTGCAATAATGACAAAATGTAATAACCTTGCCCTTATTTTGCTTAGAGGCTCTTAAGACAATCACCTATTATTCATTACACTCATTTTCTTCTTTACAAATTGTACTTAGTACACCAAATGGTTAGTTTGTAGTTGAATGACTTACTGTTCATGGGGTTTTCTAAATTATATAAAAAGTAAAAAATTAATAAAATATCAATTTTTAATGCTCCAAATTTTTAAAGTCACTGAAGTCTTGTGAAACTCTTTAGATTTCTAGGATTTCGTCTTGTACCTCCATTAATTGTGGATAAGATGGCAGTACCTTTCATGTGAAATTATTGATTATAAATGAGTAACATAATATTAGCAATGCACCTTATTCTGTCCTTGTTCATAAGTTGGGGTGAGGATTTGAACTGAAGTATAAAACTAAAATTATATAAAAATACATTTCTCATTCTACACATTATTTTTGTTTTCTACACATTAATTTTTGTTTTGTGCTTGTTTGTGTTTTGTTGCTTTTTTGTTTAAGGTTGGATATCTGAAGATAAGTGTCCTAAATTCTCTGTGGCCGTCAAAGAAACCAGTATCATTCCTCCCACCCTTTCATTGTACCATTTCTTCTTTGTTTCCATTATTTTAATTTTATGTTACTTATGTGAAGTTTAATGGGCTTGTCCCAGAAAACATTACATGGAACAAACAGCTGTTTCTAACGAAGTTGTATTACAGAAAGTTCTCTTGAGGTAAAAAGTTAGGTATTCTAAGGTAATTGAGTGGAGGCTTCAAATTCATATAATAATATCTCTTTTGTCTCACCAGAGAGTGAAAAGCAGATTCAAAAGCTACAAAAAAAGATTAAACCTCTCATTTTCAAAACTAGATAAAAGAAAAAAGTTTCAGGTTTTTCCTGTTTGAGAGGAAAGAATGTGTTCACAGTGAACAACCTGCAGGATCAGACCATACTTATTTATGAGTCAGTGTAAGTTTAGTTTGATAGTACTAAACAGAACTGACAGTTTTAATAGAATATATTCTTGTCTTTTCAAGTTACAAGTGTAACAGGTGCCTTAGATGACATCCTGCAGGTGAGAAGGTTGTATGGGCCCTTCTGTTATGAGCACTCAGGTGGAGATACACCTGTGTTAAAAGCTTGTCCAGAAAAAAAAAACAGACAAAATTCGTGCAAAATTGAGGTTGGAAGGGACCTCTGAAGATCATCTAGTCCAACCCCCCTGCTCAAACAAGGTCACCTAGTGCCTGTTTCCCAGGAATATGTCCAGATAGCTTTTGAATATCTACAACCTCTCTGAGCAACCTATCTCAGTGCTTAATCACCCTCACGGTAAAAAAGGGGTTTTTGATGTTCAGATGGAACCTCCTGTGTTTCATCTTGTTCCCATCACTTCTTGTCCTGTAACTGGGCACCATCAACAAGAGTTTGGCTCCATCTTCTTTGCACCCTCCCTTCAGGTATTTGTATACATTGATGAGATCTCCATCTGAGCCTTCTCTAGGTTAAACAGTCATTTCCTCCAGTCCCTTAATCATCTTAGTGGCCCTTGGTTGGACTTTCTCCAGTATGTCCATGTCTTCTTGTACTGAGGAGCCCAGAACTGGACACAGAACTCCAGGTGTGGCCTCGCCAGTGCTGATTAGAAGGAAAGGATAACCTCCCTTGACCTGCTGGCAACATTCCTCCTAATGCAGCCCAGGATACCATTAACCTTCTTCGTGTCAAGGGCACATTGCTAGCTCATGTTCAACCTAGTATCCACTAGTACCCTCAGATCTTTTTCTGCCAAGCTGCTTTCTAGTTGGGTGGCCCCAGAATATATTGGTGCCTAGGCTTGTTACTCTTCATGTACAGGACTTGGCACTTCCCTTTGTTGAACTTCATGAGATTCCTGTCAGCTCATTTGTCCAACCTGTTGAGGTCCCTCGGGATGTAGCCACTCCACCCTGTTTTGTGTCAACAAGAAACACGCTGAGGGTACACTCTGCTCCCTTATCCAGATCATTAAAGAAGATGATAAACAGGACTGGATCCAGTATTGACCACTGGGGTACCCCACTAGTTACTGTCCTCCAACTAGACTTTGTGCCACTGATCACCAGACATTCAGCCAGTTTTCAGTCCCACTCACTGTCTGCCATCCAGTGCATACTTCATCAGCTTCCCTATGAAGATCTTATGTGAGACAATGTCAAAAACCTTACTGAAGTCCAGTGTTCTCCCCTCATCAACCAGGCCAGTTATTTCATCATAAAAAGTTGTCAGGTTTTCAATCAGTCAACTCAGAGAAACCCTCTTTCTCTTCTCCTTTGCTATGGGTAAAGGAAACAAAAAAAGGTTATGGACAAGTAGGGCCATAACCAGTAAACCAGACCTGAGAGTCTTTCAGTGTTACTCTAATTCTGCAGATCTTGCTGGACTTAACCCCTTAGACAAGGTTATGGTTTGATCTGATTTCTTTTGGTGGAAAGATGGGGTGGGTGACTGTTGTGGTTTACCCCCAGTTGGCAACTAAGTATCATGTAGTTGCTTGCTCACTCCTCCCTGCCTGGGGAGAAGAATCAGAAAAAAAGCTAAACCCTATGATTTGAGATAAAAACAGTTTAATAATTAAAATAAAATAAAATATAGTAATAATACTAACAATAATAATAATAGTAATGAAAAGGACAAAGAATAAAAACAATTGATGTACAATAAAAGCAATTAATGCACAATATAATTGCTCACCACCCACTAACTGATGCCCAGCCCATCCCCAAGCAATGATTGGCCCCTTCTGGCTAACTTCCCCCAGTTTATATACTGGACATGGCATTCTATGATATAGAATATTCCTTTGTCCAGTTCAGGTCAACTGTATTGGCTGTGCTCCCTCCCAGCTTCTTGTGCAGCTCTACACTGGCAGAACATGAGACACTGAAAAGCCCTTGACTCACTGTTCAGCAACAACCAAAACATCAGCATGTTATCAGCATTATTCTAATATTAAATTCAAAACACAGCACTGTACCAGCTACAGAAAATGAACTCTATCCCAGCCAAAACCAAGACAGTCACACACTCTTTGGGTTGCACAGGTCACTATGTGGTCCTCTCTGCTGTTCCAACACCCTGTTTGGAGATGTTGAAGACGGACACATTTGGAGAACTGATCAGAATTAGGTATTTTTTAGATGGATCACTTTTCCCATGTGGGCAGTACAATGGAGAAAGTCGCATAGGAATGAGAAATGGTAACCAGGATGGCAAAATGGACTGATTAAACTAAGCAGTTGTACTGCACAATATGTCATAACATTGGATGAGAGATTGAAATGTGCTCAAGGGTCAGAGTATCACATGAAGGTATGCTTTCACAGATCATACTAAAAGATCAGTTCCAAGACTGGAATAAAGTGCTGGGAGAGGGGAAAAAGACAAAAAGGGGCCATGTTTGTGAAGGAAAGAAGAAAATATCTATCCACAGGAGCACACTCCCCTCCAGAGTCTTCAAAGAAAATAAATGATTACACTTACCAAGCTAAGTAGGCAAACTAAATTACAAATACTTTTTATATAGGACTTGACTATTTTAAGACTTCTAAATAGGGAACAATGGACAAGAAACATATTGATTTTTATTATAATTATTTTCCAAGATTATTTAGATCATAACCACCTAGCATTGTAAATCTAGCAGTAGTTCATTCCCTTTTTTTAGATACCTGAGGTGGAAAATTTTCTTTTTAATCTTAGTTTTCCATACTTGAATTCCAGTCAGAAAAAAATTAAATTACATTATAATAAGCAGACATGTTATTAGGCAAGCAAAATTTGGATACAGGCTTTGAATAGTGCAATAGATTTTGAGAGGGACAACCCTGCCTGTGCCTTACCACTGTAAAACCGTTTAACAAAATTATAGGAAGTTGATTAAAACAATAAATGGCTAATTTTGATGAAATCATTGTCTTTGAAAGTCTAGGAGTCTCCTTTACAAATATTTAAGCTTATTAAGAGTAAAAAAAAATAGTAGGGAAATTTAGCTTTACTACTGTTTCTATAGAATATGTGATGAAGCTAAAGGCTAGAATCTGTTGTGTTTAGAAATTTAAAACATTTTGAAGTCCTCTTTGTCCTAGTTCAGAGAACTTATTATCTGTTTACATGTTGTTCTTTACATCTCAGTGTGTGAACCAAATACATGCAGGCAACCAAGATGAACACAATCTACAGCTGAAGTGTGAAGAGTAGATTTATTCCATCACCTTACTGGCAAACAGGGACACATACGCTGCTAAGTTTAGTCCATCTTAGCAGGGGCAAAAAGCATGCGGGGCTTTTCCTGACCTCAACATAACAAAGGGCCTGGTGCATGCGCAATACTTCACGAGACTGATCTCCTCTGTGCTTTTTATGATCTCTCTCTCTCCCAACAGGAGGCTCAAACCTGTCTGTGAGAGATGTCTCTTTAAGTTTCTGATAGCTTTTATGTTATCTCTACAGAAGTTCTGTTTCTCAAAACAGGTAGAGGGTAATCAGCAGTAAATATGTGAAGTTTCCCACACTGCTACATAGTCATCTTGATCGAAAACAGCTCTATTTTTCTCTCCTTGACAAATCTTACACTTTTCAACCCTTTCCTCCCCACACTCAGAAAATGTGTATTCTGTGTATGTGTCTATATATACACATACATATTCATGTACATACACCAAGATATTGTAGAATCATGTTCTCCTTCCACAAGGCTTTGCAACCAGTAAATATCAGAAAGCATTTTATCTTCTGTGCTTCCTTTTCTACCTAATTTGTGTGTTTATGCAAATTAGAAATGCTTAAAATTGTATTTAAATATTAAAAATAAGTTTTATTGTGCAGTCATTGAAAGTTATGTGGGCACATACCCCCTAAGTACAGATTTCATAACCAATGAAGGACAGAACTATATAACAACTGAGCGCTAGTATTTATAGTCATGTAACAAGACCAGGACTAATGAGGAGATAAGAGGAGGTGGCACAGCAAACATACATGTTCTGTAGAAACCCACATTGCAGAAACAGGAGGACAAGGGAATAGTGGTCTATGAAAATTGCACTGGAACAGTATATGTATAGGAAAAAAATAGTTTGTGACTAATGTTCCTGCTTCTGTGTTGCTCTTTTGACTGAACATGAACAAATCCTCAGACTTATAGATTGGAAGTCATTATTTTGCCTTCTGCCTTGTGCAAAGCAGAACATGTAGTTTGGTTACATAGACTTTGTGTTCTTCTGAGAATTACAGAGTTTGTTGAAATTTAATAGGATTGTTATGCATAATTTAGATAATTGATTTGTTAGAACAATAACTTTGCAATTGAACAGCTTCAACTAGCAAGCATGTATATTTTACCATCACTGAAGTAAATTAAATTCTGTTGGGGACAGTGTCAGATCAGGTAAAAATGTAACTTGATTATGCTACATTTTAAAGGAACGTACTTAAGTATAGTTTAAATACAGTAGATATAGACTGAAAATGGGCCAAATCTATTAATTTTTAATATATTTATAAAGTAACTAATTCTTCTGTTGTTCATTTTGTGGGATTATAGATCATCAATTTCACCTCTCCATTTTAAACATCTTATGGAAGAAAGAGGATAGTCAGAAGGAAAAGAACAACTCTTGTATGATCAACTTCTGCAATTTCCTTCCATTTTTATTTTTTAAAAGTTCCTATTGGGAAAATATAGTATATGATAGTATTTATTAGCAAAATTTTTCTCTTCCTCTCTTATACAAGGATCACAGACTGAGTCTTCTGTTTTCTGCTCATGAGGTTCCCCTCCTAAATAAGCTCAAATATTGAATTGACTTTAGGAGAAACTGACTTTTTCTTCTTCATTATCAGGACCACAACGGGATGCACAAGCGGCACGAGAGTTCATCTTGAAGATGTTTGTAGACCTGAATCCAGACAGTGACAAAATTATCTATTCTCACTTCACTTGTGCTACAGACACAGAGAATATACGCTTCGTCTTTGCTGCTGTCAAGGACACAATTCTACAGTTAAACCTGAAGGAGTACAACCTGGTCTAACTGTGCCTAAGAGGCCCTCCAAGACCACCTTTGCGTGATTGAAGATGTACAAGACGGACTACATTATCTGTGAAAATAAATTACATAATACTAATTTATTGTCAGCCGGGACTCTGTGAGTGTTCACAGAGTTTTTAGTTAACATTATGATTTTATTTAAACCATATGGAGGAAAAGCAAAAGATGCTGAAATACATTCACAGTACATTTTCTTTTTTTTTCAGCAAAATCCTGTGACTCAGTTGTTTTTAAATTTTCAGTCATACACTCACAAAGGATAACAGGTTTTTGCTATTGAAGCAAAATCAAGCTGGTTTCCTCTTTCGTCCCCCCCTTATGTTTTTAAAGGTGCAATGACCATTTTACTAGTTGCATTCCTTGATGAAATATTTTCTGTTGAGTGATTTGGTCAGTAAAACTGCTAACATCAGAACTGAAGTTTTCAATCATTCAAATTTTACAGAATGTACTTTCTCTGAAGGATAAAAAGTACTGATAGTGGGATTTTTTAAATTCTTAAAATGAATGTTCTCATTCTGTCTTCACTTCTGAGACTAGAATGTTGGGAACTGCAAAATAGAAATAGTTGTGTATGAATTTAGAATTTAAGCATACTTTCACAGTTCAGAAAGATGCATAGAAGACAGTAATGAAAGACACAAAGATGGGATGTTCATGGAATATCATAGAATGTCTTTTTAATTACTATGTGCCATTATTATCTCTTTTCTTTATTCACAAATGCCAAACAGAAATGCCATGGACACTACATTTTCCCCAGTGTCTACAGCCTGAAACAGGGGTGGGGTTTTATTTTTCAGTTTTGTGCATTTTTTCTTAAGTTAGAACTTTTGTAAAGTGTGTTTTTCCACAGTAGAAAAAATATTTTTTGTTGTATAAAATCTTGCCAAATCTGGCTTTTTATAAAACAAATACTTTCAAAACATAAGATACCAATGGAAATGCCAAACTAATGAATTGGGAACTGACCTGATTGAGTCAACTACCAGATGATAAATAAACATAGTTTCAGCTCATATATTCCCATTTCTAGAAAGTGTTCCATTTTCGAATGCCAAAAACAACAGCATGAGTGAATATGCTACTTGGTATACATGTATAGAAGACAGTTTAATTCTCTCCTTATGTCAGAAATGTCATGAGATTTCATACAATGTTTTCTCTAATAATATCAAAGCACCTTTTACAGCATGAAATTATTGATGAATGATCACATTAAGAAACCTTTCTTGATAAGGTTGTCTCTTAACTGATTCACAGACATTTGATAGGTTTTATGCAAAAAAGCCTTTCTTGATGTTCTTAAGAAAGATTTCTTAATGTAAATCACTCTTGAAATTTAAACATGCAAATTTTTAATAACAAAAATGTAACACACATCAATGAGCAGCTTAGGTTAAAAGGTATTTTTTTGACCAGGTGCATGATTGCTAGCAAACTACAGAGAACTCTGAAGTCAGACGTAATGGATTAATTACAATGCCAAGTAGCAATAGGGTGCACTTAGCACAGAAATTGCTGCCTCTCAGCAGCAAAGGAGAGGTGGAAAAAGAATGACTTGTTATTTGAGTAATAAAGTTAACAATAAATACTAATGAGGTGTTTTTCATCCTTAACCCTCCCAACTCCAACAATAATAAAAATAGTTGTTATTTTTTGTTCCCTCCTAAAACACCTTATAATTAAAAACCAATTTTAGGTATAATGTAATTATGAATGCTATAGTCCTTGTACATACATATATATATATGTCAGCATCCATATTGGTTTTGTAATCATTCATTTTTTGCAAATTGAATGTGATGTGTTGATATGTATCTATGTAATTGTATCGCATGTCTTATAACTAATTCACATTTGAAATAATGTTATTTCATTTACTTTTCTAAAAGAAGAATGTAAATTTTTTCAGTTTATTCCTGACTAGGTATTTGCTGTTTTTATTTAAAAAGCAAAAAAAAAGTACAGAGTTGTACTAGTATCATGCTATATAAAATCATTTGTACATTCCTTAGTAAAAGTAAATTGGAGATACACAGAGGACATTCACAATCAAAACAATGCTTAAATCTTGTCAGGGATTTATATAGATATAGAAGTTGTTTTTGTTGGAGGAATTTATGCGATTATATCTAGGATTAGAATATAAACTCTTAAATATGAACTTGCATTTGGTAGATTCAACTTCAGTTATTTTTACCTTTCTAATAACCTTAGAAAAGTGAATTTAGAGACATTTCAAACCATTGAACATAAGTACTAATGGGTACATGCTGTTTCCCTAAAAATATAAAGAAAAAATACAAAACATCAGATCAGTTAAACACTATTTCAGAAATTACAGAAACCTTCGATCTAAAAACAACAGTCACTAGCATTAAAAATTTTAAGGAGTTAAAGAATTTTCTTTAATAAAGTTAAAGCGGGTAGTTGAAGGTTATAAAAAGTGACACTGAGATTTTAAATGCATCATCAGAACAGATATTCTTGCTATATATGTAATTATAACATTGGTCCTGATCTTGCTTATAAACATAACAAATCTTCTGTTTCCACCATTGACTCTGGAGAGTGTGATAATATCCCTTCTTTCAACCTGTTAATACATTGGCCACCTTGGATTTAGTGATATAAATAGAACTGTAGGAGGGATAAAAAAAACAGTGTTGTCTAATTAAGGTTTGGGTTTGTTTTGTTAGGGGATATTGGGGAGGGGTGTATGGGGTTTTAATATAAAAAATTTTTGTATAAAAACAAACCAAAAGTTTATTCATGCTTTATAGATATATTGCAATTGCAAAATTCAAGAGTGTGTGCCACTGGGCTACTTCTGGTATATTTTAATTGAGTTGAACCTGTGGCAATGTTTAGATCTTTTGAACATATTCTGAAAAAATATCTAGTCAGTATACTAATGCAAACCTTACATGATTCACCTAACACAGTATTGCAGTGTGATAATGTTTACAAAAATATTTCCTTTTAAAATGACAGGTGTTCTCATTTGCAATATATTCCATTGCTGTTGCTGTTTTAATTGGGGATTTCCACTACACACTATTGTGCTTGAGTCCAGAAATAGGTGTTCTAACATGAAACTGCAGGCAAAATAAGACAGAAACCCTTTTAACTTTGCAAAATTACGTTATTTCATTGAATGTCATAAATGGGAGAGGAGAGAAGGAAACCATCTCGGGAAACTGTGTATACTAGGTGTTCACTAGTACAAGAAAGCTGTAATATGTGTTTTACAGAAACCTTAAACTTGCTTTTTTCACTGAGTAACTGGCACCTTCTTGACATATATAGGATGATGAAGCTATAAGGGCACTCTTATAATTCAGACTTTTGAGTTTCAAGGTGTATGAACTGTAATTTTAAATCATACTGTCACATAATTGCAAAAGACTTTTTAAAATTTGAAAGTGAAGAAGAGACTTTTATGATGCCTATCAGTCAGAACTGACTGCATGATTTGCAAAAATTTTAAAAGGGGGTAAAACGACTGCATATGAAGATATTGCTAGACTCCAAGTTTTTGGTTATGATGCAAAAGACTTTCAGATTCCTCAACCTAATGGTTCTTCCCTTGTTATGCATTCTTCACAAAATAATGAAATAATAGGAGAAAATAATAATGGCCAGTCTTCGCGAGCGAAGATCCGGGGAAGGTCTTTACACCTTCCAGCCTGCGCATTGGATTTTTTTTTAGGTGAGACACAGTGTGCGCGGAACTGAGCCCACCCTTTAATCCTAAGGTTCATCTGCCGGGGCCAAGCGAGCTTGGACGGTGGCAGCGAGGTCCTTAGGACGTAGGTGGGTTGCCTTTAAGGGCTAACGAGCCCCACCTGCCCGGGAGTGGTCCTGACCGGGAATCGAACCCGGGTCTCGGCGGTGATAGCGCCGCGCCTTTACCACTAGACCACCAGGGGCTCCAATAGGAGAAAATACAGACATGTTAAACCATATGGAAAAAAACATGATGTCCAAATAATTTATTATATGTGCTGCTCTTAATGAAGGTCTGTGCATGGTTATCCTGCATTACATTAGTAAACTAATGAAGTGTGCACAGTATATTAACAAGACCTACAAATTACTTACCTCTAGTTAAGAAATCAACACATTAAATATGTTTTGAAGAGTCACAAGTGGGAAAATTAAAACGACCTATTGTAGATATTTAATGGCTATTTTAGACATTCACACTTTTGCAGATACAGTCCCTCTATGGACATAAACAAATAAGGTCATATGTCCAATTTCTTAGTTTAGTAGATATGAAAAACAATGTGTTTTCATTTGAAAAGAAACACTGATATCTACTCTTTTTTGGTTTTGCTTGGCTTTAATTTACCATTTTATTTATCAATAAAAACAAACATTTCCATATAATCAGTAATCCATAGAGGGTCATTGTTTATTTAGTTACAGGGATTTTGCTGTAACTTTCACTCAAGCTTTTTTACAGTAGCCATGTTGCACGAAAGAAAATAATAGAAGAGTTATTTGGGCAAAGTTGATGTTGAAAGTAGTGTCAAAAATGCAAGAGAATTCAACCAGATCAATCTTATTCTTGGGATTACTGGTTTTGTGGTGTGGGTTTTTTCTATCAAAAGATGGTCTAAACTGGTCTATTGGTAGATTTCTTATTTATCATGCTTCAGGAAATCTTTATTTTGACAATATCTTGGAGGAGGTGTCATACATTTTTTTAATTTGCAGTGTTTAATAAAATGAAGATCATATTTGTTATTCTAAAATGTCATTTAAATGCATGAATTGTCTATTGTTTGGGGGACAAAAATAGGGTGTGTTTTTTTGGTTTTCTGTTGAAAAAATTAATGCATAAATGCTGCTCCTCAAAACTTGTGCTGGTTAAAAATACAGTACTTTCCACCATAACTTTGTACTATAGTATCTTCATTCCTTGACATTTAGCTTTTCTGGAATATATTTGGGTTTTTTGTTCTCCCAAAATATTTCTTATGATAAATATCGAATATATGTATTATTCCAATAAGTACTTTTTAAATTATACATACTCTGTTCTCATTGTCCATATATTAACATTTCCTGAATATTTTTATTGCAACCAGAAAGTTCAAAACATTTAAGGTTCAGTACAGTGAATACAGTTATTTGACATTATTACTAAAGGGGTTTTTGGCTTGTGTACAACAGAAACTCAGAAACATGGGGGAAAATAAATAATAATCTATGTCTTTATTAATAGAAAACTTTCAGAATTTGTAGGCTAAATGAATTTCTTAAGTATTTTGCATGATTACAGTAGCACTGCAAAAGCAGAATTTTTCTTTGATCTTTTTGTTTACCTTAGTGATGATAGAAATAACAGAAAGAGGCCTACATATTGCTTTTCAGGATTCTGACTTGAACAGCAATCATTGCATATCACAGCCTTAGTACTGAAGAAACAGAATTGTAGGACACTTGCAAAAATTACTTTGTTCTTTATTATGTGATCACAAGTTTAAATAAGATTCTTGGAATGCAAATAATTTTCCTAAGTAAGGACTTCAGTCATTTGCTGTTGCAGAATGTAAAGGAGAGGGATCAGTGAGGAAGGATTTCTTTTACCTTTATGTCTCAGTGAGAATAACATCAACCAAAATACAAGTGCAAGTTGTGATATTTAGATATGTAAAATAGATGTTGAAACTGTATTTATGGGATAAACTGTGCATAGATGTGACATAAACTTACATCACATACTATGTTCATATGACTTGACTGTAAAACCATTTTGGACTATACTGTCCCAAACACCTAGGAATTTCAGAGTATTTGCAAACAGAGAAAGATTCATCTGTCACAAAATATGCAGTTGCCTGTTTCTCATAAACACTTCTGGTATCAGTGACAGTTTACAACTGACCCAATTTCATAGTTCATTGCTGCCAAAATGAACCACTCTCCTCCTCAGTTCCTCTGTCTCAGCTACATTGTACTTTCCCTTCTATCAACCCTTGGTACTTGGCAAACCAGTAAACTGGGTGAAAATAACATTTCTGCTATTCTTGCTTGACTAGTTTAGTATTCTAATTTTCCCTTTTTTGAACCAATTTGGCTAATCAGTGGTTCAAACAAGTGCCAAGCTGACTAAAGGGAAGAATTATAAGAGTGTGGCCAAAAGAAAGGCTTACAAGTTAGAAAATGAGTAAGACTACCCTCCTCTTAAAATCTAACCCTCAAATTTCCAGGAACAGTGACCAGTATCTAAGCCCCTCATTTTAAGTACTTCATGGGCAACTAGGTATTCTGGCTTGGGAGAATTGCCCTTTTCACTTTGAAAGGTCTTGATTTTATTTTTATTCAGAAAAAAAACGTCTTTAATGAAAATGGTAAGACAAGAAAAGCTTCTTTTGCTCTCCTGTAAGAATAACAAGTATGTGTAAATATGGACTAAAACCAATGGTATTCAGACTGAAACCAACAAGTCATGCTTGGTTTTAGGAAAGGAAAAGTATAACAATTGGACTTTCATTTGTCTCACAGAAAAAAGAAATCAAGTTCCTGTTTATTTCCAGTAAAATTTTAAAAATAAAAAATTAAAATAAATGTCTTCCTTCTGAAGATATTAAAAATTCCATGTCACTGCACATGACATTCAAGATTACTGTCTCCTTGGCCAAAACAATCCTTTCTTCTCCCTTCACACTTATCTATCATCACACTGATTAATTGCTTCCTGTCATGCAAGGAAAATATTTTTCCAGTACTGGTCTATGTATGCACTTTTTGG